TCTGTTTGGTGTGTCAGCCAATCAGAGACAGGTTCTTTATATATCTGAGACCTATAATATATTGATGAAAAACAGTATAATAGGGGATAGGTCTTCATTCTGTCTTGAAACCGTCCGAGGTGATTCAAAATGTTTATTCTGTTGGAGCATTTTGACCGTTCTTCCTGTTCTTCCTGTTCTCCGTGCAGCTGATCCTCGGTGCGTGGCTCAACATGTTCGGGGGGCTGGTTCGATTCCTCGGGACGGGGATCTCCACTGACCCTGCTGACCGGTTTCCCTTAGTGATGTTCGGCCAGACGCTCGCCGCCATCGCTCAGCCGCTCGTCATCTTCACCCCCGCCAAGATGGCCGCTCTCTGGTTCCCCGACAACCAGCGCGCCACCGCCAACACCATCGCCTCCATGGGTGAGGGATTCACTCTCTGGTGTCACTGAGAGCAGGTGGTGGGGTTTGGTCGAATCTGTCCAAAGACCAGAGATGGCAAAAGTACACACTAGTAGAAGTACAGATACTCGTGTTTAAAAATACTCTGGTAAAAGTAGAAGTACCGACTAAACTTCTTTACTCAAATAAAAGAAAAATAGTCCGTTGTTACCGTTTGAACTACGTAGCAACGGCAGGAACTGATTCGATAGCGTTTTTGAGGAGCTTTTTGATTACAGATTTGAAAACATGGTTGCTTGCATTAAAAACCTTGGAAAGTATCTAGATGTCCCTGCCCTAATGCCAAAGTAACTGGCAACTGAATATGTTTTGCCGTTAGCTGTCTATGTCTGGACCGTTGTGTAAAAAGGACCGCAGCTCCGTGTTGAGGGTTTCTGCCCCGTTACTTCTCCGCTGTTTTCTCCCTCTTGTATTTTTTTTTTCTTCGCTAGGGACTCATCAGCCACTAACAATTCATCCAAATGACTGCTCTCCAAATATATTAAAATTAATATTACAATCCTCCATGTTGCTCTCAGATGGTTGACAAACGAAAACTAAAGACAAGCAAACAGTTTGAACGGTCAATACGTCCTTGACAGCGGTCTGTACTACTGGATTAACCAATCACAATTGAGTATTCAACTAAGCCATGTAATAAAAAGAGTACCTGACCTCCCTTTATATTAATAGAACAATAATGTCATTGTTAGCTAATGAATGTTTCCATGGTGACCAACGGCAACATGACAACGTTTTCATTGGTCCCTCTTCTTTAGAGAAGACCAGGAAATGATGGATACACGGATCGTGTTCAAATCAATAGGCACGCAATGACTCTAAATAATAATGATCACGCCACCAAACACACATTCAAACTAAAGGAACCAGCCTGTTTGGAAAAATGTGAGAAGTAGAAAGTACAGGTATTTGTGTTCAACATGTAAGAAGTAGAAAGTACAGGTATTTGTGTTCAACATGTAAGAAGTAGAAAGTACAGGTATTTGTGTTCAACATGTAAGAAGTAGAAAGTACAGGTATTTGTGTTCAACATGTAAGAAGTAGAAAGTACAGGTATTTGGGTTCAAAATGTAAGAAGTAAAAATAGAAATTTGTCAGAAAATATGTAGAGGAGTAAAGTACTGATACCAGAAAAATGTACTTAAGTAGAGTAACAAAGTATTTGTACTCAACTACTTCCCACCTCTGCCAAAGACTAAGCCATAAGAGAACATTTTACTTTCCCTTTAAAAAGCAAAACGGGCACAGATTTCAGGCTTTCAAACTCTTTGTAGTACTTTTACCACAGGACATAAACCAGTTTCTCTTTTCTCTCCTCAGCCAACCCTCTGGGCATGCTGCTGGCCAGCATCCTCTCTCCATGGATGACTCAAACATCTAGAGACATCCCCGACCTGGTGAGCCACAAAGAGACTTCTTTCTTAGAACAGCAAACTCCCTTGAAATGTTTAAAAGCAGATACCTATCTTTTTAACATGGCTTTTTTAATTTGGGTTAACCTTCAATTCTCACTAGTATCATTGTCCATTGTTTTACTGTATTAGTTCTAAATGTTTTCAATCTCCTGGCAGGACTTTGCAGATGTTGAACTAGACTCCCAGTGAATACTGATATTGCTCTGTGTGTGATGGAGGGTTAATAGGCGACTGATTGCTGAGCTCAGTCGGCCAAAACAACTTCACACGTTCTAACATGTGCAATCTTCTGCCTTCTAAGCAGTAACTTTAATGAGTCATCCAACGTTAACTACTACAAAAGCATCTCTTAACAACCAGGGCTGTACTGGATGGTTTTTTTGTACATCCCAAGCATCAAACATAATAATAATAATTTCAATTTCTATAGCGCCTTTCACGAAACCCAAGGACGCTTTACAATGGGAAGTAACAAAACAAAACAAAAAGTAATAATAATCATACAGATACATAGGCTGAAGAAAACAAAACAGGAACAGGTTGCTGGGTACTGCATATTAGTTGAGGCCAAAGGCCTGAGTGAACAGATGGTGTTTGAGGTGTTTTTTGAAGGTGTCCAGAGAGTCTGTATTCCTGATCGCAGAGTGGAGAGAATTCCAGAGGGTGGGGGCTGCGACACTGAAGGCTCTGTTGCCAAATGTTTTCAGCTTGGAGCGCTGGATGGAGAGCAGCCCTTTGTCGGAGGACCGCAGGTGACGAGAGGGGGTGTAGGGCTGAAGGAGGTCAGAGATGTATGGAGGGGCTAGGGAGTGGAGAGATTTGTAGGTTAGCAGATGTTTGTACTGGATGCGTGACTTGACCGGGAGCCAGTGAAGGTGGATGAGGGTAGGGTTGATGAGTTGCCAGGGCTTAGTGCGGGTGAGGAGCCTGGCTGCAGAGTTCTGGACGTACTGGAGCCTGTCCAGGGCTTTGCTGAATGTACTTCATCAGTCTTTTTATTATGAAATACATGTTTTTGTGATATAATGATTATAACCAGGGGTTGAGGGGCTGAACACAGAACTTTGCGTGGGCAGCCCTGAGTACCAAACATTGTCTCCTGGTACTCATTTGAGTAACTCACTAAGAAAGTGATGTGCACCCCTGATTATAACTCACCCGTTTGTGCCTCCCTCATCATGCAGCAAGGAAAGAGCAAACTGTGTTTTGACTTGTAAGCTAAACGTCACAAAGTATGGATGGAACCAGATTATCTCCTTAAACAAACACATGTTGCTTTTTAAATACATTTTGACTTTTGGACTGTACAACGGTCGCGAGATATTTTGTCATGTTTGGAAAATATGTTACGAAACCACTGAAATCTAATAAATAATATACAACTGAAATATTAAGATCAGAGAACACCTGTGCAGAAATACCAGGTTTAAACTGAATAAATAAGCTATTCAGCACATTCTTCGGATATTATTATAATGAGGTGTCCTGAATGCAAGTAACTACAATCATGTCCCTGGATTTAAACCCTGTTGATTGCCTTTTTGCATATGTCTACTTTCAACTGTCCATCAACTGTTAAAGTGTCCAAAAATATTTTTTTTAAAGACATCAGTTCGCTATAATAATTGGATTCCCAGAGTGCATTGTGGGATTGCGGCTGCTCACCTGCTAATGATGATGAATGTTTTTTGATTTCAGGTGCCAAAGTCCATTTATCACATTATGTGTGTGTGTGTGTGTGTGTCTCCTGTAGCTGCTGGCCTATGCGGTCCCGGCGTGCATCATCTGTTTCCTAGCAACAGTGGGGCTACGGAGCAGCTCCCCCCCCACGCCGCCGTCAGCCAGCGCCGAGTCCTCCGGCTCAGAGCCCTTCGTACAGGGCATCAAACTGGTGAGGACGACACAGAAACACACACTCATTTCATTTTAAAGGTCTCCTATTATGCAAAATGCACTTTTTGATGTCTTCTATACATAAAGATGTGTCCCCGGTGTGTCAGAGAACTCACGCAGTGTCAGAAAATAAAACCCTCTCTCTTTTCCTCCGTACCCAAATCTCTAAAAACGGGGGAACAACGGAGCTGATCCAGATTTGCGTCCGATAATGACATATCGGAAATGTAGGCTGGCTTTACACCCACGGCCCTATCAGAAACGTTGCTATCAGAAACAATGCCCGACTGTTTTGGACGTAATATGGTCTTTGTTTACATTAGCATCGCTAACACTCAGAGCTAACCTGTACTGGAGAGCATGTGTGTGAAGAGGCAGGAAATAAAAAGGAACTCACCTTGTGGCATAACCGGCAAGAGAGAAAGCCTTTGAGCTCCATACTGTTTCAGAAATAATACTTGATAATCCATGATGTGGCGTTTCATCACCGCAGTATCTGCCGGTAGCATCTCCCGCATGAGCTCAGCCGCCTCCTTTATTTAAAGCTTTATACTCCAAATCAGCACTTTTGAATCAGGAAGTGAAATAGAGGGA